CTGTGATGAAATCTGTGAAGGCTACTATCTGACTGCAAGCAATATGTCTTAGTTCAGAATCTTTGAATAAAGTAGCTGCTAACCTATAGCCATGTTCATCTCCAGAGATGACACAGTGCCAGGTAAAATACCCCTTCTCTTCCCAGACAACCACAGGCCATCCCCTATGCTCCATGTAGAGAAATGAGAGCACCACATTTCCTAATACTTTGAAGTGACAAGCAAATTGGAAATCTATGGTTCTTTTATTATAGAAGATTGTGTCGCTTGAATCTTGGAAGTAACAGTCTTTTTTTTCTCCTGGCTTTTACTTGGCTGGATGATTTACACCTATGCAAAGGGGTTTGCTGACAGAACAGAATTAGAGCTCTTATTTTAGTCTGTTGTAAATGCTTCCTCAACATGCAGCAGCAGTTCCTAAAGAAGAAAGAAAAAAAAAAAAGTTTGAGCATCACTGTGGAGACTGTACAAGTAGATTTAGCTTTTCTTCCTTTGGTGGCTTTAATGGTACAGTAATAAAGATAGTTTAAGGCTTGGTAGAGCAACTATTCCTCCTAGCTCATCTTTCTGCTTTGTTTACCTCTGCAATAAATACTCAGAGATGAGAGATGCCCACTGCTTCCATCTCTTTCTGCTTGCAGCCCCAGGGGATGAGGCACAGTGTTGGCTGTGGGCAGAATTATAGCAATATAATCCAGCATATCTTTCCATCCTGTTGTGAAGTGTTTGCTAACCTAAGTGTTGGATGCATCAGCCTGCAAATTGCCAGGTTGGATGGGGCTCTGAGCAGCCTGATCTGGTGTCTGATTTAGTGGTTGGCAGCCATGCGTGCAGCAGGAGGACTGGAATGAGATGGTCTTTGAGGTCCCTTCCAAGCCATTCTATGATTCTGTAATTCTGTGGTTCTACGAACTATCCTTAGCTCTGCTGTAGGATCAGCCCAGCTGTGTGGGAGACACCCAAAAGGTGTGGATTACTGCTGTAGTGTAGGCATAGGCTTCCCTGCAGCATCCATGGAGGTTCCCCCTTCACAGATCATGAAGGTTCTCCATTGGCTTTGCTCTGAAGTGTAACACTTTGGCTAGGTGGAGAGTGAAGAATCACAGCCTTCAGGGACTAGGTAGAAGTACTCCTTGCTGTATGTCCCTGTGGCGAATGTGTGAAGTTTTATATAAATACCTTTGGAGTTTGATGTGGTCTGTCATCAGGTCCCACAGTCCTTCACAAAATCCAGCTGTACGACAGACAAGAGATCAGCTTAAGTCTTACAATGTGAATAATATCCTTCTGCATGCTTGTAGCACCCTGGCGTAATTATGCCTCTGACAACTATGGAATATATTCACATGCAGATACTTCACCTGTTTCTGCTTAAGCCACAGATCGTGCTGCCCAGTTCTCTGCTCCATGCATTACAATTTTTACTTTCGTTTGCACAAGAAAATCTGCAGTGGTGGGAACTACAGCTGTTGTGTAAAAGGCAAATGAGTGGCTTAAAGTATGCTGTGCTCTCTGGCATAGTTGTACCCAAACCTACTTGTCCTCTTAAATGCTTTCCCCATTGCAATGCAGTTGAGCTGTGCCAAAGAGGATGCTGAATCTTATGAGGTTTCTCTGCTTTGTATATGAATATTTACAATTTCCATTTCCTTATGGGAAAAGAAAACAAAGCTCTTCAGGAACAAGTATTATTGTCAGAAGTGGCTGAGCTCCTCAGTGCCCTGCCAGGTGACACAAGGAGCTGGGAGGGGACAGCACCAGGACAGGTGACTCAAACTAGCCAAAGTGATATCCCACATCAAATGGCATCACACTTTGCAATAAAAGCTGGGGGAAAAAAAGGACAAATGAGGGGGATGCTGGGAGTGACAGTGTTTATCTTTCCTTCAGTCTGTCACGGCAGAGAAGGGAAGCAGCTGTCACTGCATCTGCATCTTCACTATGCCCATTTTAAAACTGGATAAATTAATTACAGATACGATCATTCAAAAAACACAGTGTAAGCAGCTGCATGCTGGAGATTGTGGATTTGGTGGACCATAGTTCCTTGGTAAAGAAAACAGCAGCCGTAGGAAATGCTCACGCAGCAGTGTGACATCTCTTGTATTATTTACTGCGTTGTCTTTGCAATTCCTGTGCATACAGAAATGCACAGCAAGAGGTGTTATTCTTCCTAAGAGATGCCCTTTTGTTTTCCATTCTTGGAGTGCTAATTTTTACAGTGCTGCTGTAGCTGGATAAGTCCATTACAAAGTTTGTATTTTAGGTCCTCTGTATCTCTTTAGACTGTTTCACTTACTGTTGTGTGGAAGGCTTTTTCAGAAGCAAATTCTATTCATCAGAGATACCCCTTTAATTACCTTCCACACTTGTGAGGGAGTAGAATATAAAGAAAGCTAATAATAATAATAATAATAGTAATAATAATAATAGTCACATATCTTGTTACCATTACATGTTAAAATCAAATCCTGCAGGGACTGGAGCTTCGAGGCCTTATTTTTATTGAAGATCTTAATAGCATTTAATGTAAATTAAATGTAATCGGTGTCTTATTCCTGAGCATATCTGTGAGGCTGAAGAATAAGAAGTTAATTGAACTGACAGCATAGTGGGAACTACTAAAATCAAGCACCAGCGTGTTAGTTAAAGTGCATTTTGAATTAAGTGGTGGAAAGAAGAACTTCTATTTTTTTTTATTCCCTCACCCAGTTTTTTTGGTAGCAACTCACTGCGAAGTCTGTGTGATGTATGGATTTGTTACATAAGGTATCTAACATCAAATTTGCATTAGAATACAAATGCAGGAGATTCTTTTTGGCTTTAGAAATTGGGCAGGATCAGACGCATAAGCCTAACATGCAATTTTACTTTGAGGATCAGTAATTGCTGCTACGTAAATCCCTGACGTGTTCAGCAGGCAGATAATTTAATGAGGTCTGCAAAATAACTGGACGTCAACTCTAGCATTATAAAAGGCTCCGTCTTGAGATGGCTCCTTATGGAATTCATGCACTTGGTGGCAAGATTTACTTGATTAAAAGATTAGAGACGACTCTAATTGTTTAGTCCTCAGGGTAGGTGATTGGGCAGGATTCAATTCCCTGCTCCCTCTCTTGTGACGGTGATGTGGAGTACCTGATTGTGGCAGAGATGACCTCATCTATTTCAAATTAAAGGTAACGTAATTAGTCAGCTGGTGTTGTGGGCCATGCGATCATAAATAAATGCATTTTGATGAATGGATGCAGAAATGTTATCTTAATTTAATTAAGGAGAGCTCAGAAAAACTAGCTATCTGATCCAATCTTGTCTTTGCAGTAGATTGTTTTTCTTTCCTCTGTGGTGCCAAAGGATCCATGCCTTCTCTGCACATGTTCAACACTTAACACACATCTGAATTACTGTTCTATACCTAAGAGATGTCATGGTCATGGTATACTAAGCTTTTCCTTAACTACTAGGTAGGTCCAATGCATAAAGTCAATGTACTTTTATCCTAGAAGTTTTCTCACCTGTTCTGTCTGTGCAAAGAACTTGATTTTGTGGATGAAAATATCCGAACTTCCTTGTGGTGGTGAACGTTGCAATTCTTGTTCTGTCTGCTCTGTCCCAGTGCTTACTGATAAGGCTCAATATATTAGTAGCTAAGTTGTGCTAGGTAAAGGCTGTGCTTGGGGCTGTGCTTGTTCCTCAAAGGAGAGAGGGAAAACATTGAAAAAAGTCTTAAAAGAGATAGTATCCATCAGTTCTGTCAGAGCAGCAGGAGTCATAGGATCATTAAAGTGTGAGAAGACCTCTAAGATCATCTAGTCCAACCAGCAACCTGTCCCCACCGTGCCCACTAACCACGTCCCTCAGTGCTGTATCTACCCTTTTGTTGACAACCTTCAGCAATGGCAACTTCGCCACCTCCTTGAGCAGCCTGTTCCAATGTCTCACCAATGGAAGAAGCTAAAAGATTGAGACATGCCCTGGGTTTTCAGGACAGAAAGGTCCTAATGAGCCTTTTTTTTTTTAATCAGTGAGCTTCCATTCACTCTGCATCCTGCTGACTGAAAAAGAGTAGCTGACAAATGAGTTTTTCACTACAGCTATGACTTAAGATGTCCTCTAAGGAAGAAAAAGATCATTTTCTTTAGGTGTTTTTTTGAGCCTTTCCTGACTTTTTGATTGAAACATAATTGGAAGCCACCCCTTTCTTCAAAAAAAGGTTTTGAAGCTCAAAAAAAAAAAATGGTTTGAAGTTCTCTATGGGGAATTTTAGAGGCTAAAAATACTCCATTGACCTTATGAAGCTTGGAACTACTGGACTGAGCTAAATCCCTATGGACAGCACTTACATCACTTTCCCTTACTTTGTTTGGTCCTGACCAGAGATGCCAGTGACCAGCTTACAAGACACTGTAGTGGAATTTGAGGTGCAAAAGGGAATCACGACTCTCTTGTCTTGCTGCCTGCGTGTTTTAGTTCTTAGATGTGCTCTGATATTCCTCTGTGCACAGACAGTGCTTCTTTGGAGCTACTGTGTCATTAGCAGGGAGGTCACCATTATAAGGAAATTTGTCCTGCTCAATCATCTGCCTCTTTCTCTCCCCAGCAACCATAGTTTTCTGGGCAAGCCGTCAAACAACTTCCCCATCCCATCTCTCTTTCCTGTATAACCCTTATATTTATAATTTCTGTTGCAATACCATCCTTGTGTGATGGCCTGGCTACCTGCTAGATCCCCACTTTCTCTTCCCTCATTGACTTTGTAGGTCTACAGCCATTTTCTTTGTGCTGTTGAGAGAGGGATGTTTTGAGCAGCTCCTTGCTAGGAGTTCCTACAGCCCTATCTGTTATTGCTACTCAGAACCCAAGACTTGCATGGTCCTACCATGGCTTCATGTAATGTATGTTGTGTTGTTTTAACCGCTCTGCAATTTGATGAAGCTCTGTAAGTATTCATTATGCAATTAATTTCAATTGCATTTCACATCATCTCTCCTCTTCTGCAGGCACGCAACCCAGCAAGAGACTAACAAAACCATCACGACTAGCACCAAAGCCATCAAGCAGCTGTCTGAGGTTGTCAGAGGCTCATCCAGGGTATGTGTCGTTCAAGGTGCTTTGGGAGAGAGTGCTGAGGCTTGTGGAGGGAGGAATAAAGAAAAAAGAAGTGGGTAGTGAATCCTTTAAAGCTGTTGAACCCCGTGTCTTGTTATGTCTTCCTTTACTGTTACACAATAAGCATGGCTTGTGTTTCTGTTGGAAAAAGCTTCGGAATCCATTCTTCTCCCACAGCCTGGATCATGTGGAATACAAAAGCAGCAATTTTGTAACTGGTCTCATGCAGTTTGGATGAAAATACAGAGATTATCCATCTCTACATGAGTTTGGAGTTGATTAAATACTCAGTAGTGCAGTAGATGCACTTGCTGCAGATGAATTTGTAAATGTGCTCAGAAGTCCAGAAAGAGCAGAGCAGCGCAATGTTTGCATATGGCATTCTTTCAAGGAAGGCAGTGGTGGGGACAGATATTTACATGCTATGGCTGGATCAGAGCCAAACTTTGTATTACAGATGACCCCATGGCAATCTCATCTGTTGTGTGGACACAGTGGTCTTCTGTCATCAGTCGGTTCAACTCACATGAACATCTTTGTCAAAGGAGTAGGAGTGTCTCCCATTCCCTGATTCCAGTGACAATCAAATAATTTCTGACCTTTCCTCAAAGGCTTTTAGATCCCATACATTCCTGTTGAATTTGACCTGAAGGGAAGGGCAGCAGCTTAACATATGGAATCCTGGGGAGCAAACTCCAGGTGTGAAAGTTGAGAAGTTTCACCTTTGTCCAAGTGCCTTTAACAGTCCAGATTTAAGTCACTTGCAAACAAGCACCTGAGAAAAGGAGTTAAGAGTCAAATCACCCCTAAATGACTTTTCCATTTATTGGCATCAACCTTATGCAGGCATCAGCCCTAGTACTTGATGGTTATTAGCACATTTCTTTGATTAATAGTGGATTTCAAGGCCTATATTTTTTCCTTGCACACTCTGAAAATAATTGCATCAGACCTTGATGAAACAAAAGTTTTCTTCTTGGAGGTATAGAGATCTAGGCACCGTTTTGTGACGTAAATTGGGTCCAAAGGGAAATCAGGCAAGGTCATGTTAAAGCCAATTATAGTGTCATACAAAAACATCAGTATTAGCCCTTGAAGTCAGTGTTGTGTCCAGTAGAAAGGCTGTCAGCAGAACAGCCTTTACTGTCGTGGAGAAAAACTGCTCAGTTAAAGGGGAGATATTTAAGACCAGAAGGAAATTGACACATAAACAATTTTAGTAATATGAGGAATAAACTTGCTGCTCTCTACTGGCATCACCTAATAACTTTTTCTACTCCCTGGTCAATTCGTTTAACGGATTTTAGTATTTTTAACTCTTCTTTTCCAACAGTTTGCAGTTCAAGTAATTAAACCTACAGATTTTGATATAAAGCCTGAAGCCCTTCTCCCTTATATAGAATTAATGATTGTGGTGGGTATCAACTGCTGCGTTGGCAAGTCCCTACTGGGGATCTTGGTAGCAGTTCAAACTTTCCTCCCATAAAATTTCTCAGTTTGAAAATAATTCAATTAATTTAGAGCTTTATAATCAGACCTTCCCAACCCATTATTCTGTGTATTGCTTTGTCTGCAGCCATGGACAAAAAAATATATATCCTTTTCCCCCCTGGTTTTCCAGCTATAATGCATAGCCAGCAAAGTGCACAGTGGGAGTTTCTCTGACTTCTCTTGAAGCTCCAGGTGCTGTTGGAGCTATTGGAGTCAGGATGCCTGACTGAGCAAATTGATAGTATTTCAGGAGCAAAGATACTGATGTAAGGGGATCAGTGTGATACAAGGCAGGAGATTGATGTAAAATAGCACATGGTTATTTTAGGGCTTCCTTTTAAAGTAATCTCAAAGGGCTTAAATGGAGAGGCCTATCTGGATTCCGTGTTTCTGTAGAATGAGTGCTGGACCATTAGATCAGCTCTCCAGGGTGTCTGTCTTGTCTTATTTTGCCTAAGTAACAAAGTTTATAGGCCTTTATTGGTAGAGTGGGAATAACGATATTTACCCTGTTCTAAAAATGGTTTTAAATCTTTGGATGATGAACTATAAGACTGGGAATATTCTTCTGTATGAAAATGCTCCCATTAAAAATTAAAGCTGTTTATCCTATCCTTTATAAAATACTTTCATATTCTTAAGCAGTTGTCTGAATGTTGTGGTTTAACCCTGAAAGCAGCTCAGCACCACATGGCCTTTCACTTGTTTCCTTTCTCCCAGAGGGACTGGGGAGAGAATCAGAAGAAAAAAAAAAAAAGAGAATTCATGGGTTGAGATAAGACCAATTTACTAAGACAGAAAAGTAAGAAATAACAGTAATGGTAATAATATATATTCATATAATGTGTTTATGTGTATGTATATTTATATTTACAAAACAAGTGTTGCACAAAGCAATTGCTCCTCACCTGTCAACCAGTGCTCAGTCAGTCATTGAGCAATGCTGGCCCCTAGCCAAAACCCATGAATTTACAGTTTCTTCACATGATCATATGGTATGGAATATCCATTTGTCCAGTTTAGATCAGCCGTCCTAGTGCTGTCCCCTCTCAGCTCCTTGTGCTTCCCCAGACCCCCCAAGAAAGAGTCAACTACTTGAATTAGCTCTTGCTAACCAGATCTTTTTTCTCCCAACACAGCAAGAACGACTTCAGCTGGATAGGCTGAAGAACCAGCTGTCTGATGCTATCCAAAGATACGGAGCTGTGCAGAAGGTGAGGGGCTCTCTTGTTTTTACCTTTCAGAGTGTGTATTTGGGAACATAATAAGTGGGAGCTAACACAACTGCTAGGAGCATGGAACATCTCTGTACAGCTTGTCTCATCTCTACAGCTGTCCCTCTTCATTGCAGGGGAGTTAGACTGGATGACCTTTGAAGGTCCCTTCCAACTCCAAAGCATCTGAAAGAGGGCTATGAAGATGGGGAAGGATCTGGAGGGCAAGATAGATGAGGAGCAGCTGAGTCCCTTTCTTTGTTCAGCCCAGAGCAGAAGAGTCTAAGGAGAGCTCGCATGGTGGCCTACAGCTTCCTCATGAGGGAGCTGTGCCAAGGGAGGGCCAGGTGGGTGTTAGGAAATGGTTCTGCACCAGAGGTTGGTGGGCATGGAACATCAGGCTCCCCATAGTAGTGGTCACAGCCCTGAGCTGCTGGAGTTTGAGGACACCACTCTCAGACATAGAGTTTGGATTTTACTTGGTTCTCTATGGAGCCAGGAGTTGGACTTGGGTTCCTTCTGGCTTGGGATAATCTGTGGTTTTATAATTCTATGCTGAGCAACAATGACAGAACAACAGAAGAGGAAAAAAAACAAAACTGTGCCTTTGTTTATGTGATGGACACTCAGTGGTTGCCCTGTCTCAGCCGTTACAATTTTTTTGTGTTTCTCCACTCAGTGGGAGAGCAAGAAGTAATTGAACAGTGTCCCCTTCACCTCTGTTGCAAGCAATGTACAGGCAACACTGCTATTCACTTTAATTGTTAGCCCCCTGTATGGCTTTGCTGTTCTCTATGTCTCTGGCAGAAGGTTTCCAAACACATCCTGTGGGTTGGACCTGTCAGGGAGATCAAGCTGTTTAATAAAACAAACAAATGCTGAACTCTAGATCTTCCGTTCGCATCTTGCTCTTCCACTTTACCCTAGGGACATTCTGCAGATTTGCTTTGCTTTTAAACACTGTAGTAACAATTTAAATTTACCATCCTCAAAACACTTCTCTCTCCTCTGCTGCTACCTGCATATAACAAATTTGAACATATATCTGGATTAATTGAATTCTGTAGAAATATAACCTACATGATCTCTCATACTACTCTAGTGCATAATACTCTAGTGCATACTACTCTAGTGCAATACTCCATGCCTGCAACACCTGGGAAGAATATACTGGAATTATACTGGTATGAAGAAATTTGGCTGGAAAGAATTTCTCTTATTATAACCATTCTGCTCTGATTGATTCTCCAATACTTGCTGGATATGGTTTAAAAAAAAATATAATAAGTGCCTAAAATTGCGCTTCAACAGCATGTATATACTATAATATCATTTCACTATCTCTACAACTATTAACTCTTTTTCTGCCCTATTCATAAACACAAGTGTGGGGGCTTTAAATGAAATGTCTTTATCCCATTAAATGAGAAGTTGAAAGGATTCAGGTAAAGGGTTCCAGCCTCATATATACACACCTTTTTTGTACTTTTTTAGTGTTCACGAGTACAATCCATCTGAACTGTGTGTCTGCATTTTTTTTTTTTTAACTGTCATCAATTCAGAAGAGACAAAATTAGCCTCTGCATTTTGTGAATGCCCAGTTGCGTCAGGAAACCAATCTGAGCGGTAAATTGCTACTTATCTACATCCTAGCTGTCATTTCTTAAATACACGTTTCAGTTCTGATAACCTTGTCATTCTGGAAGCTTTGAAGACTTTTAATTCTGCAGGACCAAAACTTTTCCATGTGGCTATACTCCCTTTCTTTTCTAAATAATAAGATTTTTCTCTTTGTCTTATTCCTGAAGTAGTAGAAGAAATAATTCCCTGTGACTTCCTCCCTATGTATTTGGATTGTGTTTTCTCAACCATTTTCCTTCACTTTTTTTCTTCTTCCTTTTTACAGAAAATAGCAGAGAAATCCAAAGCTTTGCTTCCCACTGGGCAGAGAAGTAGCAAACAAGTAAGTTCATCTTACTGTCTGTGTCTGTAACAGTTCCTAAGAAAGTGCTATTTTCTATCCCATTAATGATGCTGAGGAGCATGTTCCTCCCCCAAGACCTACACTGAAGCCAGTGGTGTGGTTTTCAAATAATAGTGTATGACATCTTCGGAGGCGAAAGATACAGCACTGAGGAAGAAGAGACATGTAAGACCTGTTTAATTATTCTCTTCTGTTCCCATGGGACTGTTCTTCTTTCTGAGGGTTTTATCTGTTCTGTAGTTTATCAAAGAGCAGTTCTGTACACTCTTCCCTGGAAGCTGGTCTTCTAGGCTAAGTGAAATCCCACCCCAAGTGCAAGAAGTAGGTGAGATGGTTTTTATCAGAGCTCTGTGCTTGATTTTAAGAGAGATCATGAATCCTGTGTTCTTCACCTACATTACACTGTGGTTAGCAATTGTATGCATACACAAATACAACCCTTTTTCCTGCTTTTTACATATATTAGGATGCTTGTCAATGAACAAACAGTAGATGTACTGAGAGTGCACTATAATCCAAGCATGTGTTTTGATTCATATGCGTAGGTATGCATGCACATATGTGATAAAATATACATGTATGTCTGTGTACATAACAAGGGTGTAAATAAGTTTATGTGTAGATATGCTTGTATATATACATATAAAGTACATGTGTAAGTGTGTGTATAAGAAATCTCCACATGAGAATTTCCATGAAGGGTGTGATACCAGGAAATCAGGTTGCTGTAGTGCGATTCCTGCAGATATTAAATTGGCCTTTCAGGTCTTGCACAGAGAACAGCTTTTAGGTGCTTGCAAGTGATAATATGGTACCAAAAAATAGAACTGCCTGCCTTATTTTGTGAATTATTTTTTTATATTCTTGATACTCTTGTCTTTGTTTTTTTAAAGGTACAGTTAGCAGATTTCTTGCTTTCCCTATGAATCTTCATTTCCGACTTGGTCGTACCCCATGGTTTTCCATGTCCTCTTTAACATGTATACGGGAAATGGTTGTAATGTTATTCTTTTTGGTAAGGAAGGATGGTGATGTCACTGAGAACCCTACCATTAGGGCAAGACAGTGAACCAGAGCTTTAATATTACGTGGATTTTAAGGCTACACCATGCTCTGTGCAGCTATATCTAGCTATACATGTCTCTGTTCATTGCAAGGGAGTTGGACTAGATGACTTTTAAAGGTCTCATCCAACTCAAACAATTCTGTGAATCTGTGATTCCATGACTCAGTTGTGGTTTACATCAAACCTTGTTATCACTTGCTAGCTTTTAGGTGTTAGTGCCAAATAAACTAAGGCCTCTGTGTGCCAAAGTGCTAATGTATTCCTGTAGCCTTGTCAGGCATTTCCAATGGCACCTGTGGATTTGTTGATTTTCAGCTGTGTGTTTATAGAAATGTTATGCCTTATTTTAATCCACTAATTGATGATGAGTACTGGACATTAGAACTGTGTGTGATCAGAAATAGCATGTTCTTGAATTGTGGTCAAATCCCATGAATGTCAAACAGGCATTGATTTTGATGATTAAGCTCAAAGAGAAGGGGCTTTGTTTTCAGTAACTTAGGTGTGGTTTGTTTTCTTGTCATGCATATCAAAGTGCTTCTTGTGCTTTTAACCACCTTCATTAGACTACAATCTGTCAGTGGGGTGGGGGTAGCAAGGGTGGGAACAGCTCTAGTCTCACCAAGATTACCACATGGTGGCATGGGGCCATGCCTGTGCCACATGATGGTGGACACTGACAACAATTAACCAGTGCTCACTGGATGGACTAATTTTTATATAGCTGTTGTCCATCCCTGCACCTGGAGTAAATCTGAATGCAGTCAGATTTTTTGATATATTGATAATGGTTGATGACTCCAAAAAAAGCCTTCTGTGGGAGTGAGCAGAGTATTAACAGAGGGGAAAAAAAAAAAAAAGAAAAAAAAAGAAAAAGATATTGAGTACAAATCCTGGAGGCAAATAATGGTGGGATTGAAAGTAAAGGAAGGCTGGAGGAAGAGTAGGACAAAGTCTTTTACATTAAAATAGGTGGTAATCCTCCTGGTTAGGAGACTGACTGTATTACTAAGAACTTGATGTCAGTCAGGCAGCATTAGTAGATGTGTTAAACTTGCTCAGCTGCAGATTGGTTTTCCTTGTACCTGTCACTTGCAGGACAATGCCTGCATTTGGCTTTGATGCATTATGATAAAGTATGTTGTAATATCTCCTTGATGAGATGCTTCTGACTCAGAGGTGAGTTTATGCACTCGTTCATGTCTACTGGGCATGGACAGTCTCACAGTATGGTTTGTGCATGTACCGTGCCTGAGAGCACATCCATTTTCATGCAGTTACACTTGCTTAGCTTGGAGTCATGAGGTTTCATGCAAACTGCTTGAAAAAGCTGATGGATAATTCTCATCCATTTCAGCTGGTTCCTATACAACTGCAGCTTTATTTGAATCTTATTTTCTTGTTCCTTCAAATACAGGAGTGAAATTGGATGTATGAAACATGCTGAAGGGAATGCAGTGCTGTGACTGTTTTACTTATTAGTATTTTTCTGCCGCAGATTGGTCAGACCATGCAAAATTATAGTTCCCACAGCAGCTGTAACCTGACCACCACGTGCATATACTGCATCATTAAAGCTAACACCTTATAAAGTAATGCAAAATACTACATATGTTCAGGACACCTGATTTATGGGTCTGGTGAGACTGTACAGTCAACTTCTTGACTTTGGTGCAGATCCAGTATGAATTCAAATACTGCTTACCTGCAGATCTTTTGTTTTACTTTCTGCATGCTGCATTTATTATAGCAAATTATGAGAGAATTGAAGGGCACTTGTTTCTTCAACGCATTCATGTAGTTCCTCTCTTCCATTGGTGGATGGGAGAGATGTGTTTGGTAACACAAACTCCAGTAAGTTCCCTTTAGAGAGTAATTAGTTTCCGAAATCCATGTGATAGGTAAAAATTGGAAAGAGGAGCTGCAGAATGATTCTCCTGCCCATTGTGATTTGCTGTAAGAAATGTTTAATTGAGTTTACTTATTTATAACAGCAAAGTAAAGGCATTGATCCAAAATTCCTTGAAGCCTGACGTTGTATAAATTCTTAATCAAATATATGTTGGTATGAGTGTATTTGTGTGTAGACCGATCAATGTAGTTCTGTAGCTGGGTTACGTATTGAAAGACACAAATTTTTACAATGCTAAGTGATCGTTGTTGAAAGTGAGTTGTGGTAAATAATTGAAAAAAATCTCTTTCCCTTGAATGTATTAAAGTGGTTTTAAATATTTACCAGGTGGCCAGAATGAGACCTCAGATGTCTCATTAAGAGAGCGCACAGAGGAATCCTGAAAAGCAGCAATTCTGTTTCTCTGTGCATGTGTGAGAAATGCTGATGTGGCATGCAGCAGAGTTAGTGGTGTATTTGGTGATACACCGACTCTGGGATGATTGCCTCCAGTGCCTGCCTGTGTAAGGGGCACACATGTCTTGAATCATAGAATCATAGACAATCACAAGTTGGAAAGGACCCATAAGGATTCTGGAGCCCTACTCCACCTTCTCCCACTGTATGGATACACTTATATGCAAAGCATCCATTCCTGTTTCCATACAAAGAGTCCTCTGGAGACCAAGGGGGTGTTTTTTGCATCTGACCCCCAAGCAGTAATGCAGAGCCCAGGGCATCACAGTCAGATGTAGACGAGGTTGGGCAGCTGCATATCCTCTTGGGATGAGTCCATCCCACAGGGCAACAGTTGGGATAATTAATTGTGATGATGTTCTAATAGCACAGAACAGATTATCCATAATATTGAAGTAATAAACGATAGCCGGCAGAAAATCCATAGGCGGTTAAAGGAATCTTTCTTTTTAATTATTTTTTAATTACTTTTCATTTCACATCATCCCCTTCCCATTGAAAGAGGAATGTGTTACTATGTCTGTGGTTGAAACAAGTTCAGGGGCATGGTTTCGTGGGTGTAGTGGTAATAGGATGAAGGTTGGACTTGATGATCCTAGTGATGTTTTCTAACCTTGATGATTCTGTGATTCTAAGTTTAAGTAACATTTAATCAAACATCAGACTATACTGAAAAACTTGGGCTCCTAAGTACCTTTCTCTGGCAGTATCTAGCTGGGATAACCCATGCTTTGCATTATTATTGCACCAGCGACATGTCTTCAGGCAACCTCAATCTTTTGTAGACCTTAAATGACCCCCTATAGCTGTTTACATTCTCATTTAACAAAGAAGTTTGAATTTCTCACCATTTGAACTTCATGACCAGTTCCCCACAAGAATCATAGAATCACTGAATGGCCTGGATTGAAAAGGACCACAATGATCATCTAGTTTCAAACCCCTGCTATGTGCAGGGTTGCCAATCAACAGACCAGGCTGCCCAGAGCAACATCCAGCCTGGCCTTGAATGCCTCCAGGGATGGGGCATCCACAACCTCCTTGGGCAGCCTGTTAACAGAACAGGGAGAAAGGAAGCAAAGCTCTGCCTTAGCTGAGGAATGAGTTTGAAACTGAGACCACATCAAAAATCTGTTTTTATTTATTTATTTATTTATTTATTTTAAGAGGAAACTTTCCTGGCAATTTTTAGAAATCAAAATTACAGTAATTCTCATAATGTAATGGCACCCCTCTTCATTTCCTGTCCCTCACGGGAAGAGGGAGATAATTACTGCTCTGGGACATGACACTTGCCAAAAGAGATGCCTTTGTCTTTTATTCCATAAGCTACTTGACCCTGTGTTTCTTAGAAGCAGAAAAAAAAAAATGGGTAATAAACCTCTATTTGCATTACAAGCTTCTTTCTCCTAACTGCCTCAATTTATTCATGCTTTAAATGGACTTCCTTCTCCCAGGAAGCATCCTTTCTCTTTCTTCCTGTGTTTATGAAGTTGTTCTTTTTATGTGGTTAGAGTAAAATTCTCATTTTGGGACAGCAAGATC